TCTCATCAGCATTACAGAAGCGCTCAATCTGCGCATATTTCAGCTGAGTTTAAATGAACGCACGCGAGTCTCTCAGTCAGTCTCAAATGATGTCATGTTTCTAAATCAGCCTCCCGAGCAAACAGCGCCGAGCTCAACTCATATTTGCCTGAAACCAGCTCCCTCAGAGCTGAGCTGAGCTGAGGTCAGCCCATGAGCTAACACAGGACTTACGGTCATCTTCTGTGCCGGGGGCTCGTCGCTCTCAGGACATGTTTGCGCGGCTCGAGGTGAAAGCTCCAGTCCGTGCGCGGAGACCGTCCGCGGCGCAAGTCATGGCGGATCTCCGCTGCTCCAGAACACCCCGGCGGCTCTCCAGCGGCCAGACGAGATAACAGAAACCCTCCCTCTGAGGAGCTGTCTCAACACCTACTGAGCTGCCTAGCTAGACAGCATCTGCGACGCGCTCCGGATCAGCTGAGTGAGGGAGTGAGGGAGTGAGCGAGCGCAATAACGCAACCGCGCTGCCACAACGCTGTCCTAAAACGCTCTATACAGAAAACATGCTCATTTGACCAGCAAAGATGACGCCCAAAATGTAACCCCAAAACACTGCACACTAATAAAAAGTTAACATTATCCAAAAAGGCTAAATGATCCCCTTATTTTGTCAATGCCTATAATAGCCAAACATGTTGTCACTGGCTTATATTTGCCAAAAATGTGGCATTCGCCTAACGCCCCAAAATGCTCCCCTCTAAGGTAGTCATGTGTCCTATATGGGTCATTATTTGGTCATTATTCATTTGTCCAGCCATGGCCGATGAGAGGAGTGTTCGTGCTCTTCTACTGGACAGAGAGACATGGAGAAGCACAGAGGCTTCACAATTGAAAGGTCATCTGCTCATACACTGTAAAATACATAGTAAATAGTATTTCCGTATTCCTACTTCAAAATTCCATGCTTGCTGTTTCTTTTTTATATAAACTGAAAATTACTAGCGATTTCTGAGTGAAAATTGTTTCTACACCAAATTATTTGTGAGTGCATGCTGATCCAGACCAGTTCTCAGTCTGTTTCTTGATGAGACGCAATGCTTTATGCTTCAGCTTCTTTTTTTCATTTACAGAAACTCACCATTTTTGGCTGAAATATACATTAATCTACGCTAATGACCTGTTTAGAGCTGTTGCATACAGAGTGGAGTGTACTGTGATATTAAATATCAGTATTCCTGTAGTTCATGAAAATCATGCCTCATCAGCCTCTACTGAACCTTTGTTAGGGTTAGGGTTATGTATGCTGGACTTCTCCAGTCATTTAGTCTGCTTAAACCCTGCTTAAACTTTCTCAAATTCAACCTCAAGCCTCAAGTCCCCACCCTCTGAACCCTACTTTTTTTCTTTTTTGAAAACCCATTTCAGTAAGAATACAGAAGCACATTTCTGTCGCTACTTGCCTTACATCACAACTTTAATCTTCTGTCTGCAGAAGCACTTAAAACAGTTTTTGAGTGAAAAGCAGAGCGCTCAACAAGGTCACCTTAATCAAGCTGAGCATTTGGATGTTCACTTTGAGTGGAAATGCATTAATATCTGTCTTAATTGCTTTCCACTGTCTGTTTACCGTGCAAAAGGAAATTGTGGTGCATGTGCTCGGATCAGAACAGATCAAAAATAATGCAGCTACGCATTCCAGTTTTAATGCACAAATAGTGTTTTTATGTAGATCAGACAGAAAGATTAGTACCAGTTTAAAAAGTCGTCATGTAAGGTTCCATTTTGATTAGGACTATTTACTGTATGTCGTCAGTTGCTCATGTAGACAGCAAGTCAGCACAATAGAGTTTGAGACACAGCCCATCTCTCTCTCTCTCTCTCTCTCTCTCTCTCTCTCAATCTCTGTTTCTCCCTCCAGGATGAGACAGGACTTCTGAGTCTCAGCTGATATGGTTGAGTTTGACAGCCTGCAGCCTTCAGTGGCTCCCCAGTGTTTTTCACAGCAGTCACTATGGTCACGAGAGGAAAGACGTCACAGGAACCTCTGCCCACTGCACTCACTGACCCTACCAGCAAACACAGCCGAGACAGAGACAGAGACAGGAATAGCACATCCACTGCCCAGCAACGTCATTCTGAGTCTCAGCTGATATGGTTGAGTTTGACAGCCTGCAGCCTTCAGTGGCTCCCCAGTGTTTTTCACAGCAGTCACTATGGTCACGAGAGGAAAGACGTCACAGGAACCTCTGCCCACTGCACTCACTGACCCTACCAGCAAACACAGCCGAGACAGAGACAGAGACAGGAATAGCACATCCACTGCCCAGCAACGTCACTTCATTTTTGCATGATAACTCAGAGTTAATGCACACCAATGCTTTTGTTTGGTATTGACTCACTAGATTTAAACATGATACTATTTAAAGTCACATGATCTCACACACTCCTCCAGTATCCGCGTTGAGCTTCTGTGGCAGTGGCTATTTTGGGCACATTCTCTGCACTTTCAGACATTTATTGCAGTGGTTTCCAAACCCAGCACTGCACATGGTGTATGTTTCCCTTATCCAACAAACCTGATTCAACTCATCGGATCATTAGTAGAGACTCCAACACTTCAAACGGGTGACAGATTAAGAGACATGCAAAATGTGCAATGCTGAGGACAGCCAAGCCACTCATATAGTGTACAATCTAAATATGAGCGTAGACATCTTGATGATAAATGCCCCATCATCTCCTCTCGAATGGGTGCTATGTGAAGATGAATCCAGAAATCTAGAGGCCGAGATGCATCTGTTCTAAGTAGATTGGCAAATTATGCAAACATAAATGGCTGCACCACTTGCTTTAATCATTTTATGACAGCCCCCTTTTAACAGTGTTGTAAAATAGTGACATACTGTACAATTACATTTTGAAAAAGTATTTTGTATATTTGGTAACACTTTACTTGAAGGGGTGTGCATAAGACTGACATGACACCTTCATAATCATGACATGAAACATGTCATGATTATGAAGGTTTTTTTATGCAAGTTTATGACAACTGTCATTAAGTGTCATTCGCTCAGTTATGTAATTTTTAATGCAAAGATGACATTGTTTGAGATGTCTTTGTTATGGGCTATGGTTAGGGGTAAGGGTAGGGGTAGGGTTAGGTCAAATAATGTCAAATTTGCATTAAAAATGACATAACTGAGCGAATGACACTTAATGACAGTTGTCATAAACTTGCATAAAAAAACCTTCATAATCATGACATGTTTCATGTCATGATTATGAAGGTGTCATGTCAGTCTTATGCACACCCCTTCAAGTAAAGTGTAACCGTATATTTTTGGCAAATTATTCATATTCGTATCATTATGGGTTCATTCCATAGGTGTAATGGTTTTTCTACTGTACAAGCTGTATTTTCTATCCCCTTACCCTAACCCTAACCCTACACCTAAACCTACCCCTCACACAAATCTACAGGCATTTTTAGATTTTCAAAACACTTCATTCTGTATGATTTATAACTTCTGTCTGCAGAAGCACTTAAAACAGTTTTTGAGTGAAAAGCAGAGCGCTCAACAAGGTCACCTTAATCAAGCTGAGCATTTGGATGTTCACTTTGAGTGGAAATGCATTAATATCTGTCTTAATTGCTTTCCACTGTCTGTTTACCGTGCAAAAGGAAATTGTGGTGCATGTGCTCGGATCAGAACAGATCAAAAATAATGCAGCTACGCATTCCAGTTTTAATGCACAAATAGTGTTTTTATGTAGATCAGACAGAAAGATTAGTACCAGTTTAAAAAGTCGTCATGTAAGGTTCCATTTTGATTAGGACTATTTACTGTATGTCGTCAGTTGCTCATGTAGACAGCAAGTCAGCACAATAGAGTTTGAGACACAGCCCATCTCTCTCTCTCTCTCTCTCTCTCTCTCTCTCTCAATCTCTGTTTCTCCCTCCAGGATGAGACAGGACGTTTCCTCATGGGGACCTAAAAATGTCCCCACAAGGTCAAAATTTAATGGTATTACTATCCTTGTGGGGACATTTGGTCCTTATAACATAATCAATACCAGTACGTACACACACACAAAGAAAGTTGCATTTCATCAAATTTATGGCTTTTTGTTATGTTGTTGTTTTTATTTTAGTGGCTCTCACATCCATTTTTTTTTATAACAAAAAGTGAACTTTTCTGTGTTGCAAAAGCATTGACACTGACCATGAGGTTAATGGACAATTCACACAATGACATATAGAGATGTTATTGCATGTTAAAATGCTAAAAAACATAATAAGCTGCATTTGTCATGTGAGCAGGCGAGACGAAGCAAGAATCCACATGCAAGCACAGTTTAATTGAAATAAGCACATACTGTACACAGATAACTCAGACCTGAAACAGTATTAAATCTACACGAGGGAATCAGGAATAACAAGTTCAGGAGGGAGGTGGAGCACAGGCCGATTTGGGAAGGGATGGAGAGCCAGGCTTGTGAGGTGGAAGAGGGTCTGGAGACTGAGGTTGACCTGGGTGTAGCCGGAGGAGCTGGTGACCAATGTAGCAGAGCAGGCAGAACAGGTGACCACCACAGCAGAGCAGACGCGACCGAAGATCCCCATAGTGGAGCATAAGACCACCAGGGTTGAGCTGAGGGATCTGAAGACCACCACAGTGGCACAGGTGGAGCTTGAGACCACCATGGCTGAGCAAAAGCCCACCACAACAGAACAGACGGAAGTGTCAAAGAGAGCAGATTAGTAACAGCCTCTGTGGCTCAAAAAAGAGACAACCTCTGTGATCATGACGTGGCAGGCTGAGAGTTCAGGGACAACCTCCTTGGCCGTGACAGGACAGGCAAAGGGTTGAGGGACGGCCTCCGTGGCCGCCTCGGGAGGATCTGGAGCAGACACCGCTGCCTCAGGAGGATCTGGACAAGTGTTTGTGGCCAACACAAACAAGATGATAACCGCCATCATGGGCAATGCAGCTGATGGAGGGAGGACCGCCGGGCTTCAGAGCACTGAGGCTACGGGGATGGACATAAGGAGTGGGTCTCTCACACTGGAAAACAGCCTCGCATGTCCAGAGGCATTGTTTGTAGGCTCTGGCATGATGGTTGGAGACTCTGACATGGCAATCATGATGGCTGAGGTCTCTGGAGTGGTGGCTACTGTGGAAGTGTCACATTCCTCCTCTGTGACTCCACAGTAAATGCTCAGTTGTAATGCAAGGTCAATATAATATTGTAGTGTCCAGTCTGGGTGCCACAATGGCATACATGAACATAGTGGCTCTGATCATTTTTAAAATGTAGATTAGATTTTCTGAGCCACTTTTTATAAAATGAATGGATTTGGATTTGTAGTGTTTACTTTCACTTTTGGGTACTTTAGTGTTTTTGAAACTAGGTGCTTTTTGCTTTTAATAACAATTATTAATCATACTTACAGGTTTTGATT